CCCCCCCAATAGCTAGCAATCCAAAACAGTCTAGTGGAGCCTGAGCGGTCGGTGTTGCCTTCTGACACACTTCCGGTGATGTCAAAGGGTGTGGCATATGCTAATAAGTTATGCTAATAAGTTATGCTAATGAGCTCCTGCACCTCTTTTTCTATGAAATAACCCCTGGCTCCATCCCCCAAATCTCCTCCAAAGAGGAGCTGGGGACCCGATTAAAATCTCCTGCAATCTTTCAAAGAACCAGCTCACAGCCCTGCTCGCAGGTTAAGATCAGGAAAGTTTTGCTTTGGGCAAGTACGTTTTAACCCCCCGCCCCCCATGCAATTCCCTTGTCGTTGTTGTTCAGTCTCACAGTTGAGTCCGACTCTTCGTGACCCCACGGACCACGTCACGCCGGGCCCTCCTGTCTTCTGTCATTCTCAAATGCCCCCCTGACTGAAGACCTCCCAGAGATTGGTTAAGGCAGGTGTTTTTGGGGTGGGGGCTTTGGAGGGGGTCTGAATGAGCTACCTCCTGATTGAAGACAGTCAGGTGGGTATCTGTGTTGGTCCGCAGTAAAAGATCAAGGTTCGAGTCCGGTCGCACTTGAGGCACCAACAAGATTTTCAGGTTATACTCTTTGGCAACAAGCATTGACTCCTGAAAACTCATATCCTGGAAATCGAACTTTAAGGTGCCGCTGGATTCGAATGTTGCTCGACTTTCCTAATGTTGACTGTTTTTGATGAGTTTTTTTAAAGTTTGTATCTATAGGTAAAGGTAAAGGTTCTCTTGCTCAAAAGCCAGTCGAATCCGACTCTAGGGTTGCGGTGCTCATCTCCGTTTCAAAGCCGAAGAGCCAGCGCTGTCCGAAGACGTTTCTGTGGTCATGTGGCCGGCATGACTAAACGCCAAGGCGCACGGAACGCTGTTCCCTTCCCACCAAAGTGGTACCTATTTATCTACTTGCAATTTCTTGCTTTCGAACTGCTAGGTTGGCAGGAGCTGGAACTAGAGACGGGAGCTCACTCCATCATGCGGCACACTCGGGTCTCGAACTGCTGAACTACCGACCTTCCACAGCCTGCAGTTCAGCGTCTTAACCACCTGAGCCACCGCAGCTCCTATATCTATACTTTTGTATCTATACTTTTGTTTTAAAAACTTTTTTTAAACTAGGCCTGTTTTTAAAAATTCCATGGCTTTAATCTAGGTTTGGATGGGCCATTCAGGTGTGCGTGTGCTAAGCTATCAAGATAGATCCAGTTGGTTAGCTGTGTTTGTCTGAAGCAGCAGAACCAATTTAGAGTCCAGTGGCACCTCTAAGACCAACAAAGGTTTATTCAAGGTACCTTAAATAAACCTTTGTTGGTCTTAAAGGTGCCCCTGGACTCTAAATCTGTTCTACTGCTAAGCTATCATTTACTTTGCTTTACTCCTTTTGATATTTTATTCATATTATGTGAGTGGATTAATGTAGGGTTACCATATTTTGAAAAGAAAAGAGGACATCTTTCCCAACTGACTACTTCAAACAAGAGATCCCTATGACAAATCTCATTTTAAATACACCGACTAAGCTGCGATAATTGCAACTAGCTAGGAATAATCCTAACCTTCTTTGCTTTTAAATAACAACAATTTTAATTGATCTATTTAGGCTAATAATAG